CCTCTTTCCCTCTTGTGAGCATTCTGGTGGCCACCCAATGCCTGAGAGCTGTAAAACCTTCGTGTACAGAAATTGCACGAAAACAGCTTTGGAAAGGCTGAGTTTGAGGGTATGTTTTCTCCTCCCTTGCTTGAACTCAACCACTCCCCTGCACCTCGTATCGCTGTCTCATGATCTCTATCTTCGCTTCTCATTTTCAGTATGTGGAGAAGATGTGTTTGAGATCAGACAGCAAAAGTATGATAATGAAATGCAGGGTGAGGAAATGGTTTGTGAGGTTGCTTGAATATATATACATCATTGCCTCTCATTGGTGCGTGCTTCTTTGTGTTCCTAGGGACAATGCTTTATGTCATTTTTCATCCTATAGCCCATAGCTAGCCTACCTTTATCATAATATAGTGGGAGGAAAGAATAGACAATGGTGGCCTGGGAAATATAGAGTAAATTTCATAAATAATCCCTAATAATAGGTGATTTTTCTTATTTAGTCCCTAATTATAAGATATTACATAAGTAGTCAATTTTTGAAAAATATTCCATAATTGGTACTTCAATGACTACATGTGGAACTTATTTGTAATATTTGGCCTAACAAACTATTTATGGATTACTTTTCAAAAATTAAGGAATGCTTATGTGATATCTTAGAATTGAGAGCTAAATATAGAAAATCACATGTAATTAAGATCCATTTATAGAATTTACTCCAAAGTACATATACCTATATTTCTATCTCTACTTTAACCATACAGTGTGACCGTTTAATTTATAATGTTGGACCGCCTATAGTTTTCAAAACTAGACCGGTTATTAAACCACTTGTTTGAATTGGTCGAACCAACTGTTCTAATTAATTGAAAGATGTGATTGGTATATAATTTATGCAATGCTATACTCCCTTGCCCCATGGAATTCTCAATACACAAATTACGATGACTGACTGCTATTATTATAAATTTATTTTATTTAAATATTGATGTAAAATTTAAAAGAGATAAATTTGTATATATAAAAACATGATAAAAAGATCTACAAAATAAAAAACTTACATGATTTTATTATTTTATTAAACGATAGATGTAAGATGTACAGTATAAAGAAAGAAAATCTAGTTTGACTTGTGAATAATAGCGATAAAAGATCTGGTGGGACACGGATTTTGAGTTCAAATTAGTGGTTCCTTTTAAGGTTTAAAAGCTCGGGATAGATAGGACATACGCAAGAAACAGGAAACACTATACGTTCATATCTTCTCGTACAAAAGGTTTCCCTAAAGGCAGATTCTTTGAGTGAAATACTCTCTCTGCCCAATATAAATTTCTCTGTTATTATTATGGCTTCTCGATAGTTTTGTTTTAATGTATGTTTTCATTAATTATTTGATTAAATAAAATATTGTCACTTCTTGTTTTGTACATTAAAACTTTTGATGTACTTTTAAACGTATAATTTGTACTCTCTCCGCCCTAAAAAGAGTTGCTTATTGTTGTTTACGAGATTTGACTGAAGTTATTTTCAATTTAGTTTATTTGGTAAGAAATTAAAAAATAAAAATTATATATTTAAAAACTACATCAAAAGTCTTACAAAAGAAGAGGGGACAAGGTTATAGTATTTTCTCAAATGGGTCGCAAAAATTGGTCAAGAATTTGATTAAAATTTGATCATATAAATAGTAAACATACTAACTTAAATTGGGACGGAAGGACTAGTTTTTATTTTTATACTAATTTGTAATTAAAGTAATTTTAAAAAGTGATAAGATTTTGTATATTGTTGGTAGTGTGTCATTTTCATTGTGGGAGGGGCCGGGGAGTAGTTTCGTTGGGTGCACCATATAGTTCACGACAATAAAGTTGGATATGTATTGCTTTTCCTTTGTACTATGATGACATATTTGTGTAGTGGTTAATATAAACCATAAACAATCTAGCAAAAAAAAAAAACCATAAACAATGAAGCATTATGGCCCGTGGGAACCCACCAAGAACTAAAGATTTGTTTCCTTTTTCAAAGAATGTGGAAGTGTGAACCATAAGCAAGCATCAATGTTTTAAACGTAGTTTCAACTAAGTGGTAGGGTCCGGAGCGTTGGCAATGACGTTTAAAAGTATTAAAAAAAGTACCTAACTAGGATTAAAAAAATACTCTTTCTGTCCTAAAATGTTCTTCACGTTTCTGTTTACGAGATTTGACCGTCTTCTTTTGTAATTCAATTTATTTGATTGTAGGTGTAAAATTATAAAATAAAATTTATATGCTTAAAAACTACATTAAAAGGTTTACAAAACAAAAGGTGAATGAAAATAGGTAAAGAAAGTGATTAAAATTTGACCTTGTAAATAGTAACTGAGAAGAACATTTTAGGATAGACGGAGTATTTCATATACGGAGTATATCAAAAAAAGATCTTCAAGGTTTTTTTATACCAAATAAGACTAATATTGCCAAGTATTGCCAATATATATAATACTAAAAAATGTGGTAAAAATATTATGGTATTTTACCGTGCGAACACTTCTAGAAATAAATACATTGGATGTTTTATTTTGGGATAAGTTTTATTTTTTAGGTTTATTTAAGTAATAAAAAGAATACTTTATGATTGTATAATTATCACTAGTGCTTTTAGAGATTTAATACTTGGGTTAAATATATTTTTGGTCTTACAGTTAAAGGAAGGAGCACATCAAGCGGCTCCTCCTCCACATCATCCAAATCAAGCATAGCAAAATTATTAGCAGAGATTATGGGCGAGGGTAACTGTTGGTGATGTGTTTAGCTTTTGTGAGGAATTGAGTTTCTAGGAGAGGGCGGGGTTTTGGGACTTGGGAGGATGGGCTTTGACGCTTTGTGGTGAGGGTTGCTTTTGGGAGACGACGGGTCTTTAAGAGAAGGTTAGGAGAGAGTATGAAATATCCAGATCTAATTAGAATTGGACAAATATGAAATCAGATTTGGACTTTGAAAAACTCACACACACACACACATACACCGCATTAGATGATGTGCAGAGGATGTTTCAACACCTATTGGGTAGAGTAATGTGAATATAAAAACTGTAAAGAACAACACGAGCATGTTTACGCAGTTCAGAGAAATTTTCCTACTTTGTGGGGCCTATGTCCATGTAATATCCCTCCACTAGTTCACTACGTGCAGATTACAACGGTACATAACAACACGATGAGATACACTTCTTCGAAATTTCAAAATGTCATGACAAAATCTCTAAGATAGGATTTCTAACTTGTACCCAGTACATATCCACCTCGGCTAGAACATCTTGACCAAGATCACAAGGAAAAATGTGTTGGTATCCCTCTCCTTCAATTCAAGTTCATCTTCTAGATGTTACGATCTATTTGATGTTGAAGATCTCTTTCTTCATGTAGATCGCAACTTTTCACACAAGGATGGCATCGGGATGCGACGGGAACGCTCTTAGATAATCATGTATTCAGTGTTTTTTCCCTCACAATCACTCCAAGAAGTTCTAGGGATCTACTGCGCATATATAGGCCTCTTCAAATTCTAATTCTAGGTGTAAGAGAATACAACCTCTTTAATTTCGATCCACAAGTTAGATAAAGCTCATTAAATACTAGCTAGATATTTAATAAATAAATACAATTAAATATTTATAATTCCAAAAGGTCTCTAACATGTAAAATTGCAAATTGAAGACTCTAATTTCTGAACAGGCCTTACTGATCCCATTATAGTGTGTTATAGCATCTTTTGTGTCACCCTTAAAAAAATAGTAGCTTTTGGGAGCCTAAGGCTGCTTTTGTTTGCCTGATTTAATCTGATTTTTTGAAAATCTGACCTGGTACGATTTGATTTGATTGTGGTTATAATTAAAATTGTTTTTGATCTGATCTGGTTTGATTAGATGTGATTATAATAAGAATAAGTAATAAATAGAAAATAAGTTGAACGGAACGCTGCCTAAATAATATAAACCTCTCCTAACAAATAGATATTTCTAGTTGAGTGAAACTCCTAATAAATATGATTTTTTTTATTTTACCAAGATATTAGCCAAAAACTGAGAACAATCAATCTCCTCTTTTGACTAGTTTTTGGAAAAATGCATCGTGTAACATGCACATAAAAGGTTCAAGCATCTCCCAAGAACAGTCTTTTCTCCTCCTTTTTCATACAAATTACACCAAATTTATTTAAGATAAAAAAGAAAAGTAAAACCAAGTTCTTTTAAGAGTATACAATAATTACATGTACAAATAAAAAAATTCTACCATTTAGATCTAATCACATGTTTCCCATCTGAATTTTATGCCGGAGCTTCATCTCTTTTTGTAATAACACTCCCTAATGATATGCATCCTAATCACATCTTACTTCAGAAAATGTGCTAAGTCTATTTCAAATCATGATTGTTTGCTACAAACAATCCAAAGATCAAACTAATAACTTAAGCTCAACCCCTCTGATACCAATTAAATATCCCGATCTGAATAGAGTTGGACAGATATAAAATCAGATTTGTACTTTGATAACTCACACACATGCAAAAGCAGATGACACATATGGTGTTAAAGCACATATCGGGTTAAATATAATGCACATAAAAAGCATAAAGAACAATGCCAGCATGTTTATGCAATTTATAGAAACTCTCCTACTTTGAGAGGCCTATGTCCGTGTAATAGTCCACCACTAAATCAGTAGAAGTAGATTACACTGATACATAACAACATGATGAGATACACTTCTCCGAATTGTTATGACAAAATCTCTAATCAAGGATTTCTAACTTGGACCCTGTACATATCTATTCCGACTATCACATCTCCACCGAGATCACAAGCACAAACGCATTGGCAGCCCTCTACTTCAGCTCTAGTTCATCTTTTGGATGTTCTGATCTCTTTGGTGTTATAGTTTTTCATCTTCTTCATGTAGATCGTAGCTTCTTCATACAAGAATAGCTTTGGGACGCAACGGAAACGCTCTTAGATAAAGTTTTTTTTACGTTTTTCCCTCAGAATCGCTCTGAAAAATCCCATGGATCTGCTGCGTATATAGTGGCCTCTTCAAACCCTAATTTTAGTAGTAATAGGTAATTAGAAGTTGTCTTGAATATAACATCTTTAGTCATGATTCACAAGTTAGATAAAATCCACTAAATACTAGCTGGATATTTAATAAATAAATCCCAGTAAATATTTGTAATCCCAACATGTCTCTAACGTGTAAAATTGTAGATCAACTACTCCAATTTCTGAACAGGCCTTCCTGATCCCGTCATGGTGTATTATAACATCTTCTCTGTCACCCTCTAAAAAATAGTAGCTCTGGGAGTTTAAATAAAATAAACCTCTCTTAACAAAGTGATATATCTACCTAGTAAAGCTCTAGGTAAATATAATTCTTTTATTTTTCCAAAATATTAGCCAACAACTTGGAACTAACAGAGAAGCTGAAGGGAAATTTTGTCACACAAAGATTAATGAGAAGAAGGATCATATAAAATGATGTTACACTACATATCTTAGCGCTTCGCCACCACTCACTCCAAATGAGAAGCCACTCAACACCACATCAGTACTGACTACACTCACCATCTCACTCACTCAACACCTGTAATACTTCACTTTCACTGTAATGATTACATAATTTATAATAAACTTTAACATTTATCTATTTTAAATAAATTAAATTATATCTTCTTTTTTAAAAAATAAACAATTTAAATTTTTTTCCTAATTTTTTTGTTTAATTTTTTTCATCCAGGCCTTTTTCCTAGTTTGATTTTTTCTTTTTCCGTTCAAAACTTTCTCTATTTACTTTTTAAATATAATATTGTTGCTTCATGTGACACAACTTTAAAAGCTAAAAAGGAAAACTATTTTTTGTACAAGTTTCTTTCCTTTACTTTTTTTTTATAGCAAAACGAAAAAAAACATAAACTAGTTTAATTTAAAAGGAAAAAATTTAAGCAAAACATATGAAAATGTGTTTCCCTTCAATAATAATAACAGTAATAGTAATTTTAATAATAATAAAACATATTTCTTTCAATTCGGAAGTGTTTGGAAAAAATATAGGTGACACATAATGTTAAAATTATATCTGCAATATTGGTGTCGTTGAGTAAATCTTATGAAAATATTTCCGACATCATATTATTTCTCAAGTAATGACTTACGTATAAAAAGTTATGAACAAAAAAAATATTAGTCGTTACAACAAAAAATTAAATGAAAGGAAAAAAACTTAAAAAATAAATATAAAAGAGGTTACCTCTTCCGTGGCCTTGGCCACGAGTTGCTTCACGCGGCAACCATGCGAATCAGTAATAGATAGAGGGCGGGGGCGGTGTTCACCTTGCACTCACGCCAGATGGCACTGCCATTGGGGGTCACGAGACTCGGGGCGTGGTGCACTACGTACAACTAGTCTTAGGCACAACATCGGGCCGAGGGTTACGCTCTTAGCTAGAAACCTAAACAAATTTTGAGCCATCACGTATCCTACTCTTGATGCATCTTCTCTATAGTGGGATTGGAATGACAGTTTGGGGAACTTCTGAAACATGCATCTTTTGAATCCTCCACCGTTCTAACTTCTGAAAATCCTTCACTACTTTGCACTTTGTCAAACAAATGTCCTTGCCTGAGATAATTATTAGTAGCGCATTAAAAGAGGGTTTTCTCATACTCAACAGCTTGATAAAATTTAATGTCCTCTTTACCCTCCTTATCATATATGCCAAAAAAGATCTTTTTAATAAGAGGCTTAACTCTAGCAACTTGTGGTTTAGATTTTGCAAATTAAACTTATCCACTCCTAGAACCTGTCATCAAGCAAATGTATCTGCAAACCATACAGTGCATGCCATTAAACAAAATATTACCTTGAAGAAAGATGTCCCTTAAGAGCATAATGGGGGCAAAGTAATGTGTTTAGGTTGGCCATTGGGGAAACTTTCCAACCAAATGTAAAGATCACTGCAAGCTAATTATATTTTTACACCTCACACTCCTTAAACCTTATAGCGAATTTTTCCACCTCAACGGTACCATTTTGAAAATGTGATAAGTAGGTTGGTGATATAAATTATAACTTACTAGAACCATTTAAATCTTTTTTTTTTTGCCACGACAATTTTTCTTAAGTTCCATACCAAGATCAGTGTCTCCAACAAGACTCCATTCTTGCAGGAGCATATAAAGGATAACAAAAAGTATTATCCTTACCATTTGAGTCATATTTTACAAAGTTGGAAGTTTTGTTTTGAAGATTTGAGGTTGAATTTGATTATCGTGAGAAGCGTCGTCTATGTTTTCATCCTTTGGGAGGATTCATTATGTGTTCACTGCAGAATCTTTCATGCCCAATAGAATGAAACTGCAGATACTGAAGCAAAATAAATGACATGAACCCTTGAAAGTTGAATATTCAGTGCTAATTGTAAAAACCAAATCAGAAGCATTAATAGCACAATTCCAAAGCTCAAATTTCATAAGAGAAAGAATTGCTGGTCACTACTTTGAAACTTAACATATGGCTAGAGTACTATTATTATTTTATGCATCCAAAATCACATCTCAGAGAGGTTGCAGTAACCAGCTGCAAAGACAGCCCCAAAAAAGCTCTATCCCGTCAAATCCCAAAGAAACTAAGCTCAAGTGCCTGCAATGACACAATGCATATTGAATATGAGTTGAAGCACCCAAATAGAGGCAACTATGCACTTGAAACAGGGAGCAGCTTTATCTAGCATATGCCCAAACTCAGAAGACAGATTTAAAATAAATACTGCAGATGTAACTTCTGTTGTTTTGAAGGGATTGAGACGAATTTTCTTAACACTCAAGAGTGTTGAATCGTATGCCCAAAAGAACAAACAATAAGATTGTACATCTAAAGTGTTACATGTTCAATAGCCAGATATAGTATACTCGGGTATTGAGAATAAATTCCACAAATAGTCCTCAAAATAATTAAGGATATTCCACATTTAGTGCACTATTTTATGAAATTCTAATGAAGGTCCACAATAATCATGAACATTTTTCAATGTTAGTCATCTATGTCATTAAATACCAAGTAAGGTCCTTAAATTTTGGAAGATTGCTAATTTTAGCCGTTTGTTAGTGTATCATTTTGAGTACCTTTGATGAAAGATGACTAAAATTGGCAATGCTCACTGTTAAAATGGACATCCAATGAATTTTTATAGTGGACTAAATGTGGAAGATCTCCAAATATAAACGGCTATTTCAGAAATTACACAGGAAAAACAGTATTTAAAGATGCAAAGTATTCAATTGATGTTCTGTTTGGAAACAGAAATGAGCTATCCAATACTCAGACAAGCTAGCCAAAACATTAATGTTCCCAACTGACTGGAAACAGATCCATAATTGGATATCCTGGGAATGGATATATGACAATATGAGGTTGCTCATACAATTGCAATGTAATTGAAGTTTATAAACCCAGTCTTTAAATTCATTAACATTGATTAGGCCAGCAAGAGAAAGAACAAGTGAAAGGAACAAAAGCAGAAACCTATAATGCAGCCTCAACGTCTCATGCTTTTGGATGTTTGCGAGAGTGCTTCAGTCATCACCCATCTTTTCCACTCCTCCCTATCAATCCCAATGATCCCAATTCCTTCTTATAAACCAAAAAAAACACAAAAAACTAGCAAACATCCAACTACCCAACCCTTCCCCGAAGACAAAGATTGCATTTCTCCACTTGCACATTCTTATAATGTTATTCAGGTTTTCAATAAGTTAGCAGTAGCCAATTTGTTTGTTTGTTTGTTCTTCTCTAAAGCAGCATATTGACATAACCATAATTTTCTTTTACTAAAATCCTACCCTAAATACGGAATCAGACTCACAAAGAAACCACTAGCGATCCTGACAAGTACGGCAAAAGGTACCATGAGACAGCTCGCAGCAAGCGCGCACGTCGACCTTCAAATGCGATGTCAACCGAGGTCCAGCCGTCGTGCTAAGCAGAGGCATCAGCGATTGTGCCGCCGCTAGGCCACCCAAAGTCCTGGTAATCAGCGGTAACAGAAATGCCATCAAAATCATAAAATCAAAGCATGTACGGAAAAGGAACGAATCGGATAATGCAAATTTTAATCTGCCTACTTCGATGGAAAGGATTGGTGGAATTAAAGACCTGGGATCTGTGAAGAAGAAGCTGCGGGATTGGGAGCGAGAGCCGGCGATTGGTGGTGGACGGATGCGAGAAAGGGGCGGAGAAGATCGAACGGTGGAGGACCGAACAGTGGAGATCAGCGATCTGGAAATAGAGCCACGCCACGCCATAGCTGCTACGGAATCAAATGTAGATAGAAAGCGAGTGCCTATATGTGAAGGGGAGGGAAGAGGGTTTTAGCCTATGAGGTAGTGGTTTAGTTGTGCGATCTGGTGTAGCATGATAACAGGCCCGGGGGCTAAAACGAGGTAATTCATCTAGTTAATTCTGAAGTGAGAACACTCGTGGAGTGAGATCATCAAGTGTAATATTGCAATAACGACATACGGCATCGATATGGACATATGGTGTGTGCAATGTAGCCCATCTCCTGGAACCACATATTTTTTGGCCCAATTACACGACAATCTCATCTAATCTACCAGTAGCTCCAGCGTTGCCCTCAACAACGACCTGATAAATCCCTTGTTGCAAATGATGGGGGATAACATGGAAATTGTGTTAGTTGAGATATCATAAAGTACATTAGAATCCAAATTAATACAGTAATAAAGAGTTTAGCATCCAAATTAAAATAAATATTTACGAATCAAAGTCATCCTCGTGAAACTGGGTCCTGGGACAATGTAGTGACTCCTCGTACCGCACTGCCTGTCCCGTATATATCTTTGTGGCCTACATCATGCCAATTCTACTCTATGATCTTGAGGACCTTGTGTCTCATTCTGTTGAGTTAACTGTGATATGAAGTCCTCGTATATGCCCCCCTGTAGTGGAAGTTGTGTGCTAGGAAGTTGTGTAGTCATATAAGCGAGGGGATACCATGTGAAGAGGATGCCCCGTCACCAAATGGTAGCTGCAGAGAAGATGGTGTAAAGAATGATGGCCATGTCTCATCGCCATCGGGTCTATGTTGGTGGAGCTCCGGGATAGGATCGACAATATAAGCATCGACCTCATCCTGTATCTCCTGGTTCTGACATTGCCTTTGGGGGGGGCGACCCTGCACCGGTGCATCCCGACGTCTATCAGGACACCTATGCATCACCCCAGGCTCGTAGGCTAGAACTTGAACCGGATGAGATATCATCTCTCCGTATCCAGCATGATGGATGGACTGCACTGCCTGATCATGCACGCCACGCACAAGTGTGTTGAGGTCCTGACCTTCTTCAGGTTGATCTACATCTATTCGTCACGAAATGTCCAACAAACTGTAAAGTTGTACATATAAAGAAATTAGTTTAAAATAAAAAACACTTTAATTTATATAATATAAAAATGTTACTAATAAAGGCTAGTGCATACCAAGCAATGAACGTTCGGATTGAGAGGGACGTATCCAGTGACAAAAAACGTGGTCATGCGCTGGGTTGCCTATAATGCGTCTACCATATAGGTAGTACTAGTATCGATATGCATAAGTGTATCCGTGATGATCAAAGTCAATCTCCACAATACTCTAGAAAACGTGTCGTCCTAGGAGCCAACATGGTCCCTGTGGTGGTCCTGACGGCGTGCAACTCACAAACATAATCCACACCCAGAGGGATATCCTGAAGTCCACCGAACTGGCGACAGAACCGATGCGGGTAATGCATCTCCACCAAATACGTGTATATCAATGGAACGCATGCACACCATATTGCGGGCCCAGTGATGCAGTGAGGATGCAAATGTTCCGGACCGGGGTATGGCATCCAAATGAGCTGCATAGAGAAGCAAATAAAACAATTTATAACACTACTACATTTAATACAATAGAATGAGAATAATAGAATGGATTGACTATACCTCTCTCTTTTATAGCTTATCTAACTGGTCCCCATACGTACGAATGAAATGAGATGGTGAAACTGTCCAACGATGATGACACACCCACACGTGAAGAAAAATATTAAAGATTAAGTACTAAATTACTCGAATGATGGTAAAAAAATTCATACATAAAATTACCTGGCCCCATACGGTGCATCTCTCCCATATTCGGGTGGAAGTACGCCCTGTGGTTTACACATCAAGATGCGCTCTATATGCCCAAATCTGTAATAGAATGAGAGGTTCGCCGATTTGTGTCATCTCTGATAGAGCTACACGACACAAATTACTGTATAGGCAAGCCAATGCCACGGTGCCTATAGCGCGACTTCGCACATTTTGCGTCGTGCCAACGAGCAACTCCAAAAGGCGCAAGTTCAACATGTTACCCGTCGTGCTAGAGAACAGAGCACCACCCATAATCTTCAATATCAAGGCCCGACCATGCTGCAAAAAGTCGACCTCCGGGCTATGATCACAAACAGGAATGGGTACGATCGCATTCATTGAGATCTGTGTCTTGCTCAAGTCATCTAAAAATGGCCTAAGCCCCATCATATTTGCACACAATTGCGCCCAATACTCTTTCGTGTTGCCACGCGAACCAACAATAGGGGTGCCATGTACGGGGAGACCAAGTAGGACCTCTACATCCTGTAATGTTATCCCAACCTCTCCAAATGAATGATGAAAGGTGTGCGTCTCTGGCCTCCACCTTTCGACTAAGGCGGTAATTAAAGCCCAATCGATTTGTAACTCAGCAATCCTTTCTACCCTGTAATTCCATAATCACGCAATTTCTCCACAATTCGTGGATGACGCTCCACACCAAACCCTTCCCTCAAGCTACCAAAAAATTTAACACATTTCACCGGCTACATCCTCGAACTCAAGGTCTTTCCACACCCTATCACAATGATGTTCACCGGGTGCCAAGCATAGTTTTCAGAACCGAACCGGTGATCGAACCGGTCACGACACTGGTTCACTGGTTTACTGGTCGAACCAGTGGTTTGAGTGGTTGAACCAGTGGTTCAAACATTTTTAATAAATAAAAATATAGATATATACATATATATGTTAAAAATTTTACAAAATAAGAGATTGACAAAAATATTTTATTTTATTAAATAATTAATGAAAACATATAAATAAACAAAAGTTATCCAGAGTAAAAGAAGAAAATGGTAACTAAAATTAAGACAGATAGAGCATTTTGTTAGAAGCAAAGAATTGTGTACCATAGTGTTTAAATTCATGTTTGAAAATAATGTTTTGAATTACCATTATGTATGTATATACATACATATATACATACATACATATATGTATATATATACGTTGTGGAATTGAATTACAAAAAACTACTCCGTAATATATAAGTAAATAAAATAACATTTTCTCTTTTTATAAATAAGGAATTGATGTTTGACTAAATTTATAATTTAACTTAATTTACTTGAGTTGTGTCATTAAATAAAAAATAAAATTTATTTATTTAAAAAAACTTATAAATAAAAAGTCATTTGAATTTTTTTTAAAACTTTTACCTATAATTTAAATATATATATACATATATATATATATATATATATATATATATATATATATATTTGTGTGATATGCACTCCATATCAATTATATCAATGGGTTTGAATTTTAGTTTAAAAAAACTATAAATACTTAAAAAGTATTTGATAAAAAAATTTAATCAAAGAATATACATAACGAAAAGTAGAGAGTAAACCACACAGCAATGTGGCCGAGATGTTCTCTACAAGGCCCGACCACTCAAGCAGTCCTGGGTTCGAATCCTTGGACATGCGTTTTTTAAAAATCTCAAAAAAAAAAAAAAAAGAAAACCGGTTCCGGTGTAAAACCGGCCGGTTTTCTCCGGATTTAACCGGTTTCTACCGGTTCTATGCAGGATGCGGTCTGAATGCATGGACCGGATCGGCTCGGCGTCCGGTTCCCGGTCGGTCCGGGCGGTTTTTAAAACTATGGTGCCGGTTTTCTCCGGATTTAACCGGTTTCTACCGGTTCTATGCAGGATGCGGTCTGAATGCATGAACCGGCTCGGCTCGGCGGGGACAATTGGTCCCGGATGAATGTCTGTTCTTTTAAAATTCATTATTCTACGAAATCAAAATTTATAATCTATGAATACGATAAATCAAAAATATAGAATGCACTAAAAAAAATCCATAAATATATCATAAAAAAAATCAGATATCTCATAAACATTTCAATTTTCTAAATTTTCTAAATATATCATATGAGAAATTTACCTAAATAGGACTAAAACATAATGACTTTCCCAATATAGGACCATATGTCATTATCAAGTACTCATTATTCAAGTAAATGTCCATCATTACTGGACATTATTCCTCCCACTAGGTCATTAATAAGTCCTATTTAGGGAATAAAAAAGTTTAAGTCCTACATTGGGAAAGTCATTATGTTTTAGTCCTATTTAGAACAAATTTTACTAAACATATCTCATAAGCATTTTAACTACCAAGTATAAATTTAAATTAGAGATTTTGGGAATTAAAATACAAAACACGGTAGAACGGTACCGTTAACCCGACGAATGGTGACGGACGGTGACTGCTGGCTGGCGGTTGGCGACGGACGGCGGGGGGTTGCCTGGGGCACTGCTCTCTTCGCAATTCTTTGGGGCTGGGATAATTTTTTTAGGCTTAACGGTACAGCCTCTACCGTTAACCTCTGAGTAGTTTGAATGCGCTTAAATGTTTTCTCCAAATAATTTTTTTTGGGCTTAACGGTACAACTTGTAGTAGTGTTAACCTCTTTTTTACTCTTACAAGCACTAAACGAATATGCATTTTCTTAAGTAACTCTACAAAATTACATGATGGCTCATTGAATAACCGCGTTGGGTAATCCTTGTGATTTTCATTCTAAATGCCCTGCTCCGCAAGTTTGACATCCAATCATCATTTCTACTCGTTTAACCAACAAGTATGAGCTTAGATTCATCTAGGTCCGCCAATTCTGCCTCCGAATCTAAACGGAGCATCAATTCAAATCCTAGAAGCAGTAATACCAGTAGTAAAAGGAAGAAGACGACCCAGAAAACCCTAGGCATGGCTTGGGGTGCCAATTCTCGCTCTTCTTCACGGGCTACATCTAGCCGCTCTCCTTTCTCCGATTTCGGCAGGTTCTCCCCCATATAGAACACAAAAATGTTCCAGAAATAAATGTTTAAATTGTGGCACCTAAACTAGATTGGATCACCACGTCAAATTGATTCGTGATTTTGAATTTGGAGTGTTTTTTCTACCTGATATTGCGATATCTTCCAGTTACATGTCTGTGAAGAATCGGAAGTTACATGAGCAGTTTGATGCAGAGGCTTCGAGCACTTCTTACAGTGGGACAAGTCCTTCAAATGAATCAAGACCTATATTTCATGGAGTTTCAATTTTTGTAGATGGATATACTGTTCCTTCCAATCAGGTCTCTGATGAATGGTTTCCTTGTTCATTTTTGTGCTCTAAGACATTTCCTTTATACTCAAGTTTACGTCCACTTCAATATTATCATTTATTCATCTAGAATTGCAGACGATTTAGTTGCTTTGTGAAGCAGTTCGTTGATGCAGGCAGGTTTTTTCTTTTTAAATGTTCTTTTTTTTAGGAACTCCGAGGTTATATGTTGAGGCATGGGGGGAGATTTGAAAATTATTTCTCAAGGCAACGTGTTACTCATATAATCTGCAGCAATCTCCCCGATAGCAAAATCAAGAATGTGAGGTTTGTGATCCCGTCATATTTTGCATCTCACATGAAATATAATTTATTTGATTCTCTAAACATGAATAGTCTACTAATTTTATGCGGCAGGTCCTTTAGTCGAGGACTTCCGGTAGTTAAACCTGCATGGGTCCTAGATTCTATTGCTGCTAATAGACTTTTGAGCTGTAAGTATTCTTTTCCCCCTCCAGGTTTCACCAGTATGAGTCTCCTATCAAATTTTGAATTCTAATCCCAGACCGCACTCTATGGAATTTTATTGGGTTTGTTGTTGTAATGGGTTATTGCATAACAACATTACCTTATATTAGGAAGGTATAAACTACCAAAGGGGGAATATTTGTATGTCTCTTACCTACAACAATAACATTAGCCCCGTGCCTCGAAGGCTCCTGCAGTCCTGCCCATTTTGGGGTAGGGGGAGATGTACGCAGCGTGACCCCTGTTTAAAACATAGAGGGGCTGTTTCGAGATAACCCATGATGAGTGTCGAAAGTTGCATTGACTAACTGCTACATCACTATTGAAAGAAGTGCATATAGTTTAAAGAAGCATTTTGCTTTATTCCATCATGCCCAAAGCCAAAAAAAGTGAATCTTTGGTTCCATCCGAGATGATGGAGAAAAGTTTTATGTGCATGGTTACTTAGTAGAGATTATGCACTAACTTTTAAATTACTCATTACTAGTCTTGCTACTATAAAACACTTATAATCAAGCACTTGATAATGCAAGTATTCTTTTACATTTATGATGGAACTGATTTCCAGATTGATTATTTAAAGGGGTACCTTATCAACTGGATCAAGTTGCAAGTGAAGCAAATAACCAGCCAAAATTGTCTGCTTTCTTTACCTCAAAGAACTCCACATCGCCTGCTATTATAAAAAAAAACTCTCCTGACCAGGTAATATCTAATGTTGAGATGCCATTGATGGAAGGAATCATCACTGAGAGTGGTCACCTTTCTGGAGTAAGGGGTCCCGCAGATGCTAGTGCATGCATTCGAGAATCTCTAGTTCCTAGTCATGTGTACTATAATGGAACTGAAGCTGAAGATTCATCTTGCAGTGGTAATGCAAGCTTTAATACATCCCACCCCAGCCCTCTTCATGCTTCTGGTAGCTGCCTGAATGAGATGGATACGGAGGCATCAATTTTAAAAGCTCATAGTCCTAATAAGCTGCACTCAAGTGTAATGGATGCAAATTTCATGGAAAATTATTTCAAGGTAAAAAACAGGAATCTAGGACACCTAGCATTATAATATTAGCCAGAATATTATCAGGCATTATGGTGAAGAACCAGGAGTTTAAATCTACCTACATACTTTATGAATTATGGGTATGATCTATGAGTAGGCTAGTTTCAAATTTACATACATGTAGTCATGTACATGATTTTCATTTACTTTGTATTTCCTTGTCTCCAACTTTTCTTGTTTTGGATCTATATTTGGTTCAAGGGATAATTAGTTCTGAGCTTGAATTATTTGTTGTATTATAGTTGTAGTTCATTGCTTATCCTCCAATGAACAAATAGTACTTTCGTTAGCATCTATTTTTTTCAATTTTTGCTCCTATTTATGTTGTAATGGAATGATGCAAAAAAAATGTTGTAATGGAAGAATAAATTAATACTTCGTATGTAGTACGGTTCAGATAAAATAACTCATCAACTGATTGACTTCCGTTCGCTTTAATGATTATCTTTCTATCTTTCGTCCTTAAATTTTCAGAAATCGAGGTTGCATTTTATTGGTACCTGGAAAAACCGGTATCGTAAGCGTTTTCCAAGCTCTTCTTATGGATTTAGATGCACGGCTGTCATATCATCTGAAGAATCTCAGGCCACTCCAATAATTCACGTGGACATGGTAATTTATTCAATAACGGTTCTATTTTCCATCCTTCAGAATGTACCCTCAGCTATGGAGGGTTGGGTAAAATTCATAAGTTTTTCATTTATTAGCTGGATAGTTAATCTACTATGAAGTGTTTCTTATTGGCAATTTGCTCGTATATGGGCAATATAAGCTTTAGTGTGTGTGTGCGTGTGTTTTTTTGTGTGTTAGGATTGCTTTTTTGTATCAGTGGT